GATAGATAGATAGATAGATAGATAGATAGATAGATAGATAGATAGATAGATAGATAGATAGATAGATAGATAGATAGATAGATAATGCTCTTTTAAAAACATTTCATAGATATTCCTAACACAGTGGGTTCATGTGTTATTCATGTAGGCAGTTGTGCAACATTTGGATTTTGAGCCCTATTCTGTCAACTAGAGCCATCCAGTGGTGCTTTGAGGAAATTTAAAAAGTATAAACACATTGGTTCAAGGATGTTTGTCTTTTTGTCTTGTTTTTAAATCACATTATCTAGAGTTTTTATCTATTACTTTATTTTTCCTACCAAGCAGGTAGATAACATGAAGGCAGGATAAAGTTGTCTTTCTGCATTATCTACAGAAAGATTTTTAATGCTTCAAGATTGATTTAAAGATGAAAGGGGCACTTAAAGAGTAAAAGAAAAACTCCTCATACAATTTTTCCTCTTGCTTTTTAAAACAAGGAAGTATTTTAAAACAAGATTTTAAACCAGACTTTCATACATGTATCTCTCTTTCGCAAATTTCTTGTGGTCTTTCTAGCAGTGTTGCACAATAATCTCACCATGCAGTGAATCCTGTTAAGGATGATGTCAATATATAAAATGACACAAAACAATCTAATCACTTAATTAGCTCTATGCTGATATCATTACAAAAAACTACTTTTAAGGCTCTGAAATCTGCACACATTTTAAAAAGCATTTATATCCCATAATGTGACAACAAGGGAACCATTTTACTTGTTCTCACATCACAGCCTCAATTTGCCACGTTTTTCATTGAGATTTTATTTCAGTGATCATTGCAAACTGGTGCGGAAATCTGATTTGTATTCAGCCCGTCTGAGTCAATAAGTTGCAGGACCATCTTTCGCTGCAACCACAGCTGCAAGTCTTTCGGGGGTATTTCTCTGCCAGCATTGCACATCTAGAAACTAAAGGTTTTGCAAAGACTTCATTGCATATTAGCTCAAGCTTGGTCATATTGGATGGAGAACTTATGTGCAGAGTCGTAGCTAGAATTATTTAAGAAGGGTGGCCAGGGAATAACCAATGTACACTGGGGGGTGGCAAAAAGCAGATAGGTGCGAGACGCTCAGCGTCAATCTACACTGTTCCAAAAGGAAAATGAACAAGCGCAACTTCCATATTTTCTAAATAAAAACTAACTATAATTTACAACCTTTGCTAAAGCATAGACACATATATTTAAACATCCATGCTGTCTAAATTAAACGTGTGGTAGACAAAGTTCTTTCTTTATTTATTGTCTTTACTTTCCTACTTTGATCAACAGTCGTTCTGAATAAAATTCATATTTACATGTACTAATATCTACATTGAATGGATTACTTTTTATTAAAATAGTTTTTTATCTCTTTACCCCATAAGACAAAATCTCGTTTCAAAAAGAGCATGATTTCTGTATTTATCATCTTGATCATCTTGATATTTATATATTGATGTGCATAATTAACCACAGTGTTTTTGTTGTCAAGAAACTGTTAACATATGAAAAAAAAATCATGTTAAATAAGATAGACATTCCATTTTTGAGTATTACTGCTGCCACCCTCTGTATTAGAGTGAAAAAATGGTAGGGGTGGCCACAGGGGTAGGCAATGATTGGCTAAGGGTGGCCATGGCTCCGCCCCTGCTTATGTGACTGTCAGTTGGCAAGTGATAGTCTAAAATTTGTTTTATTCAAAAAATGGCAAACAAGTCCTTCCCTACATACAGTGTTTTAGCATGACTCTATAAAAGTTTTTTTTGTCCTGTCAGTTTTGGTCAGCTCCCCTGTTGTTGCCAAAGAAAAGCATCCCCTCATTATGACACTTCCACCAACTTGTTTTACAATCGGATTAGGGATGGAGTTTGTTCTCCATAAAATATTGTGTTTTCTCATTGTGCTTTTGTCTTGTCTGACCATATGTTTTATTTTCCACTTTCATTAAAATACTAAGATCTCAATAAAACCCATTAAATGTGAAAAGGTGTGTTGCTACCTTGTTTTTTATGTATTTCTTTTTAAATTATTTTTTCCTATATTACAGTTTGCCATAGAACCCTGTTATGTTTTACATTAAAATAAGAAGCTTCATATCAGTAAAATAACTGAAACACTGACTGAGCTGACTATTAATATTCCTAAATTACAATGATTTTCGGCCGCCAGAAACCCATGGCATAATCCGTTTCCATGGGAACGGCGGTCTTACGGAAGCTCACGAGTACATTAGAAGAGGGGGTTGAAACGCGATACGGACTGGAGCAGCGCAGGGAGGCCATTGCCTGACGTGGAAGGTGTCGGGAAGGGGGAAACAAACTCAGCCGCTGAGGAATCGGTGAAGGTTCAGTCTGTCGTTTTTCAGAACCCCGCGACGGCACAATGAGTCTGGATAAAGCTAACCTCTGTGACTCGCTGTTAACCTGGGTAAGTGTGAAGTTAGCAAGGCTGCCCAGCCAGGCTAACCTCCCCGGGGCTAACAGGTGACAGCAGGTGTTCGGCAAATAAACGTGAAGCCTTGAGTTTTTGAAGGCGACAGATGGAGAGCGTTGTCTTTTACCATCTATGCTCACATTAAAGCAGTAGGTAGACTTAGAGGCTGTGTTATTTGCTAACTAGCTGTTAACAAATAGGACATTTTGGTCCTGGCAGTCTGCTTTCCAAACGGACTGTGGTGTCAGCAAAGTTAGCCGCTCAGTAAATAAACACTAACATTAACCAACTAAGCTAACATTAACATTAAACTTCCAACATGTTAACTTTCTAAATCTCGAAGGAAAATCCACCTTTCTGGCTTTTATTGAAACACTTGTGAGCACAAGTTAAATCTGGAGTCCTTTGGAAGTGTTTAGATCTGTCCTTTAGGGTGGATGTGAAACACGAGATCTAATGCAAAAAAAAATAAATATTATTGAAAAAATGTTATAATTTTCTTTGTTACCACAAACACACACACATATATATATATACATATATAACCCATGTTAGCTATGGAGGACCAGCTCTACCATATTTAAAAATAAATACAGAAATAAATAAATTCTCAATAAATAAATAAGCATACAATTAATTGCCCCACAACAATACAATAAATGTAGGTAGAAATTAAATTATACAGTGAGACATAAATGTATATCTCTCTTTTAATTAGCTTCTTTATTTATTTGCCATACAATTAATTGTATGCTTACTATCCTCCATAGCTAACCTCATTATGAGGAATTTAAGGAAATATTCTTATTAAGATCATGGATCAAGAACTTCTGGAGGATAAAAAAAACCCAGAAGTTTTTAGTTTGTAAAAACAAGGGCTGAAACAAATAATCGGATTAATCGTGATTAAACAGGTATTGAAATAATCGTCAACTATTCAGTATTCCTTTAACTGACAGAGCAACCCACTTTGTGCAGTAATTATATCAAAATTGTTAAAAAAACAATATGTAAGTATTTAAGATAAAAACTTTTTTTTTTTGGTCTTTCAATATGTTCAATCCGGGTGAAACAAAAATGTTTCATCTCTTTTAATTAAGTAAATTGTCTTCCTTAAGGAGCCTTTTGGTTGTCCAATTATTACTCGATTAATTCAAAAAACAATTACATTTATCGATTTGCAAAATAATTGTGAGCTACAGCCCTAAAAATGATAAAATGTGAAAAAGTTTGAAAGATTACAGGTATTTTTCCCTTTATAAGAGAAACGTTGATCAGTGCAAAAACAATCTAGTGTTTAAAATTCTTAAATTAAGTGTATTTCCCCTTAATTTGAGTACGTAAATAAGGGGATTTAGCAATGGAATGAGTATTTTTACTCTTAAAATAAGATAATCAGATAATATGCACTTGTATTAAGACAATGCAAGAGTTTTTCTTTTTTTTTTTTTATGTAAATTGTTGTTTTGTTCCATTGGCAGTGTCTCACTCACCACCTCAATACAAGACAAAATGCACTTATTTTAAGAAAAATTACTTAGATTTTAGATTAACATTTTTTACATTGTAGAGGCTATAATGAACTAATAATGGAAATATATTTAAGGAATATGCTAAGAAAAATAGCCCTAAGCTGAGAGGTTTTTAATGTACTGTAAATGCTCCATGGCTTGAAGTGCTCCATGTAAATGCTCCATGGCTAGCACTTTGAGATTTTTCTTAATGAAAAGTGCGGTACAAATTGGATTTATTATTATTATTATTATTATTATTAAGTAGTATTGAATATTTTTTTCATAGCTTTGGTTTCATTTCTGCTGAATCTTTTTTCTTTATTTTTTTGTTATTTTGTAGAATCCAGTGGTTTAAAATCTGCTTGCTTACAATCTAACATTTAATGTTGTTTTTTATTCTCAGTTGCAGACATTTCAGGCTCCATCATGTGATGGCAAGCAGGAGCTAACAAGTGGAGTGGCCATTGCTCACGTGCTCCACAGAATGTAAGCTTGTTTACTTATTGTTGTCATGCTGTTCTGATCACTGCTCAGGAAGGACTTGAATCAAATAGTTTTTAAAAATTGTTTATAGTTCCGGGAAGTCTACATCTTCTGGTCAGGAGGAAATGTATGCGACAGCTTTGAATGCTTTATTTCGACTGATGTTTTTTTATGTAGCGATTATACAACATACATGAATCTTATTTTCTTTTTCTAATTTCATGTTTTTTGTTTTTTTGTTAGTTTTTTTTTCCTAATTTAAAACATATAATACCATTTACATGAAAAACGTCCTGATTAAATCCTAGATAGATATTTAACTATCTGGCAGAACTTGGTTATTTTTCTTTTACTTAATAATCCATCAATTTGGACCATGATTGAGGAAATTTCAGAAGTTTTTTGTTTGTTTTTCGGCTTTATTTAAGCAAGATATTCTCATAGAGATAGAAGAAGAAAAAGGGAAAAAAAAAAGATCCTTTTCAAGGGATTCCTGGCTAAAGATGTGAGGAAGATATTTATTCTATCATTTCAAATAAGGTGTCTTGCTAATGGCTATAGAAGCATTCATGGTTCTCGTGCTGCTTTCTAACTGACATCTATCCAAAAACTGGGGGGTTGGGGGGGATATCTATGTATGAAAGCTCTATATATACCATTAAGCCTGGGTGGATTAGACAAATAATCCAAAAAAGATTAACAGTTGTGCTTCCAATTTTTGTTTTAAAGAACATTGAAGCTGTTTTTTTTTTGTGTGTGCGTACTTCTGGGAGAAGAAGGGTTTAAATAAAAGATTAAAAACTGGGTCAATGATGGAGTGGCAGCCCATGCAGAGGAGGGTAACTGTACTCGGATGTCATTGGGTCTAAAAGAACCAAGCAGATTTAGGCTGCTTTTACTGCTGTGACTTCCTGTGTATTATGGTATCCAGAGATGTACTGTGGCTCTCCTGTGTTCTCATGAACAGAGACCCCTCTTGGTTTAATGAGACCTGGCTCGGCAGGATCAAGGAGGACAGCGAAGCTAACTGGCGCCTGAAGGTAATTTGTGAAGCAGCAGACTATATTTAGCGTTTACCGTCCTTTGTCTTCGGCTTTGTGTAAAATCAAAACACCAAAACTGTTCTGTCTTTCTAGGTCAGCAACTTGAAGAAGATCCTGAAAAGCATGCTGGAATATTACCACGATGTAAGTAGGTTTTAGCAGCTTTCTCAATACATCAGTCAATTGAAATACCATTAAATGTTAATTTATTATAATAGTCTGATTAAAAAGTTGAATAATAATAATAAATAGTATTATTGAAATGTATTGATCTCACATTGGAGAAATTTACCTCTGCATATACCCCATCCCCTTGGGGAGCAGTGGGCTGCCACTGTAGGGAGCCCTGGGAGCAATCGGGGGTTAAAGGCTGATTTATACCCTATTTACACTACCCTTGAAAAACCATGCCGAGACCAGTCCGAGCTCAGTAACTGAGATAACTTATCATGTGTAAATGGAAAGTAAACTGAACTGAACCGAGCTAGACACAACCGGACTGCGCTAACTGCAGACCAGTTCCAGAAGTGGGCTCGGCTCGGTTTTTCCCTGGCTCGGTTCTCTGATAACAATAGTGCATGAGCAGAACGCATCATCTCCGTCTGGCTGCACATCCCGATTCACACTCCATTCCAGTAGTTGGCGGTAATGCCCCTCCGGAAGTTGCTTGCCAACCAACACAAAACAGAAGAAGAAGAACAACTATAAACAACAATCGAAATCTTTTCCACGCAACATTTTAAATAATAATATCGAAATACAGCAATAATATTTCAAGCATAACTTTCTGAATTTGACGGGTGCCCCCATTTTGATTTGCTTGATTCCCTCCTTCTTCGTCTTCTTCTTCTTCTTGTGTTTTATGGCAGTTGGCAAACCACTTTTGGTGCATTACCACCACCAACTGCTTGATTTCCTCCTTCAATACTGGCAGTGATACCGCTGATCGTCACTAGGAGGCGAGGAGTCGAAGAACCGAGATAGCGTTATGTGTAAACTGTCGTCAGACCCGAGCTCGGCCTGGTTAACTGATCCGAGCTCGGACCGGTCTCAGCATGGATCGGTTTGTCAAATGTACTGTAAATGGGGTATTATACTTCGAAACCAGGTCCTCTACGTAGGTGTCGCAGTGAAGAAAAAGCCGTCCCGACCCCCCTCCGCAGACGCTCCGCTGCCCCTCTCCAAACTTGTAACGGACCGCAGACAGTGTTGCAGACGGGAGAGAGGCTTGTTTTGCTTTTATGAGCGTAATTGCACCAAACAAATCGTGAAGTCTGACCAGCTAGAAGATCGAGGTGCGTGAGAATGCTGGGATCCCTTTTCCACTTGGATCCCCGCTATTTTTCGCCCTCATGTCCCTCCGTTGTCAGACTAAAGTCGCCCCCACTTCCTCATCGCCTTGGCCATATCTAGACCCACAGTGTGTAGCACAGACCACTCTTCAAAATTGAGCATAAATCAAAAATGTCTGCGTCAAGCTCACTGCGACACACTGCAGCAAGAGTATAACCAGCCCTTAAGGGTATTTGCTCAGAGAGTGGGAGTGGGGCTCAAACTCAGAACCAAGGATTCCAAGCTCTGTGCCCTGACCACTAGGCCGCCACTCCTCATAAAGTAGATGGTATGAAGCTCATACTATCAAGATTCCTTAAACAGAGTGATGTATTGTCTATATATTGTTCATTATAGAGGTGCATTACTCCATTAGGGGTCCTTTTTACATTAATAACCAACATGTGCATCTGCTGGCTATGGTGTCTTCCATTTCCTGTACGATACTCTATATAGTAAGTTTAGGAAGGTTTGTAGGGATACTGTAGTTGTTAAAGCAGGTTCTGCTCAAGAACAAACTCTGATTCTCCGTGAAGCAGAGAGAACCATCAAGTCCTCTAAAGGTTGCTGTGTTTACTTTAGACTTGAGAAAACAACTACTGACAAACACCTGTGTCCCATTTTACAAGAGCTGCAATCCAGAGTAAGTTATGGGTTAAATTCCTGCATGCATTTGCTTTTCCATTTTAGAAAAGTACCAAGCAGTTACCCATAGTAAAAATGATGACACCAGAATACTCTCTGAAAAACAACCCAAGGGTTGTTTGGACAAACCCTGAGTAGTTTCTACGTTTAGCTGAGATCTGCACAAGGAAGTGCTTGGAATGCAGTGTCCTTTTCTGGAGGAACCTGTTCAGGTTGAGCTGCAAATATTCTGAAGATTCTTTAATAAAGATGTATGTTTAAATAACATTTGTATGGAGCATTTTCATATTACTATTATATGTTCGGTATGAAGAACTTCTACACATGAAGATTTCTGGGAATAAGGTCAACAATTGTTGCCTGTTATGTGGCAGCTAGACACATTTTGAACGCACCAAAAAAAAAAAAAATGTATACGCAATGTATACTCACCAAAAGTTATGAAAATATTTTATGAAGGTTGAAAGTTGCTTAATGTTGAATCTCAGGCTTAAATGTTTGTCAATCCACTTTGCTCCTTTAACAGCTCAGTTTGAGGCCACGCCCCCAGCCAGAGGATGCACGCTTTCAAGGACTCAGTCCACCTTTCCTTCTCTGTCGCTAGGTGCTGGGGGGGTGGCCACAAATTGAGTCCTTATAGGCCTTTTTTCTGCCGCTGCCACGATAAATCATGTTATTTATGTTCCATGGATGAAGGCCTCTTATATGCTTAACTCAGAGTTTATTAGATGCAGATTTTTAGCGAACCAAAAACTCTGAGTAGTTCTACCCCCTGTTTCTTACACTCTGAGTATCTGCTTTCCACTCAGGGTAGAGTGAAAACTCTTTTTTAAACTTGGCATAATAGATAACATGGCACCCCACATCTATCTTCACACTGACCTTCATGCAACATGGATTCTGTATCTTTTCTTTGGCATCAGGACTGAATCCTTTAAATCCAAATTAAACGCAAACTTCACTCTGGAATAAAAGCATTTTAGGACCACTGATCAACCTCAATCCACTTCAGATGCTTCTTACCTCATTCATTGGCTTAACATTAGAAATACAAAACATGAGCTGATGTTGTGGAAATATCTGGCATGGTGGCTACTGAAACATGGACCTTAACTGATTTTAACAGTCTTCTCATTGTTTGGTTATTCTTTGTGCTTGTGCACTTTTTAACTTCCATTAAAAATGCTATATTGCAGCACCCTGTTAATCACCAGTTGCCTTAGTTCTTCCAAGAGATTGTTTCTTCAGGATGAAGGCAAAATATTTCTGCATTTTTCTTTGTTTACATCCCGGATAAACTAATAGCTGTAACTCTATTTAATTGCTGCGAAAAACAAACCTTTTTTTGATGTTCAGCTTCTTTGAGCTGCACCTGTGCTTCTCTTTTACCCTGTTTGGTTCATGTCAGGAATTTTATTGTCTCTCCTTCCTGTGCCGTGATCCAGGTGCTTGGTCAGCAGGTCTCGGATGAGCATTTACCAGATGTGAGCCTCATCGGCGAGATGGGAGATGTGACTGAGCTGGGAAAGCTGCTGCAGCTTGTATTGGGCTGTGCTGTCAGTTGTGAAAAGAAGCAAGGTACGATATATTTTTTTTTTTTTTAACTGGTCTAAAATAGTCTGTTAAACAGATGCTCTGATGATAGAACCTGTGCTTTATTTTAGGAAACAGTCTGAGTTAATCTGTTTTTTGGCAGCGCATTAACAGCTATTGTTGTCATCTCCCAAACGCAGAGCAAATCCAGCAGATTATGACACTTGAGGAATCTGTCCAGCATGTTGTGATGACAGCCATTCAGGAGGTGAGTGAGCATCGCCATTTATCCTCCCTGTTCTCTTCTCTCCTTTTTTTTTTTCTTTCTTCTTTTATTAATCCAGCTGTTAGTCATGTGTTTGGTTCATAAGGAAAGAAGTACGGATAAACATTTGATTGAAATAATTCCCCTCAAACGCTGCTTTATTCCATTCTAAGAATAGATTTAGTGTTTTGAGGGCCAACACAGTAGGAGTTAATGTAATAAAAATAAAGCTTAGGAGGATTGTCTTTAAATGTCGCTCCTGTCAATGAGATTCTCAGGTTTTCTTTAACTCAAGCTTGTTTTCTGATCCTTTTTTTCAGCTTTTAGCAAAAGAACCTTCATCTGAACCAGGAAGTCCAGAGACTTACGGGGACTTTGACTACCAGGTAAAATTCACAGAGCTGAACATGAGTCAGCTATGAATTAAGAGGAAAGAGATTCTTTCATGCCTCCAAATAAAATCAGTACAGTTGGCTACCTGTAGAAATCACACAATTACTGATTCAAGTCCACTTTTACTTTAATATTTGTATAAGATGTTTTATTTTAACCAAATAAATGAAAAAAGCTTAAAATAAATCATACTTCTAAGCTCTTCTTTCTGCTGTCTCCACGTTTTCCCCACACAGCTTTCTTTAAGAAAGTTTCCTCTGTCATTATGTGTGATTTAAATCTATTAATAAAGTCCCCCTAGTGCTTCGAGCTGGTTCACCCGGTCAGATGAGTGTCTAACAAAAATCCTCCCTTTTGTCAGGTTTTCCCCCCAGGCTGCCTGTCCTTCCTACTTGAAGGACGGGGACTTTTTTGTGTCTGTATGTAACTTTAACTAGTAGACCACAAAATCACTTGTGGCGTTCCCCAAGGTTCCTTATGAGGGCCCCTTTCATTCCATATCTACTTGCTCCTCCTAACTTAAATTTCAAAATATAACAAATTAAGTTACCATAACTATGCAGATGACCCATAGTTTTACATTACCATGTCACCATAGAGGGATTAAAGGTTAGCATATAGCGTTGGTTACTTTATCTAGAAACCACCAATCAGGCCATAAATCATGGGTGATGTGATAAACTCAGACCTGAACCTTCAGAGGCTCGTAAAGACGGTCCCCAACCTTTTTTGCACCACGGACCGCTATATGTCAGACAATATTTTCACGGACCGGCCGGGGGGGGGGGGTAAATACGAAGTAAAATTATACGACTGCCATAAAATCACATACAAACAGCATAAAAATAAAACAACAAGCCGGTCCCATCTAGGCGTAATCGGAGACAATGACACACAAAGTGTGCTCCTGATGTTCAGTCTGCTCCGTAGTTTTGTTTTGGTCGCTGTAACCGCAGAAAATCCCGCTTCACAAACATAGGATGTTATAGATGGGATGAGTTTGAACTGAATTAACCTGTGTCAAGAGGCACAGATGCACCGACTGATGTAATTGGGAGAGAATACCGCTATTTTTTATATTTTTCAAAATAAAACATCACTCAGACTCTGACTGTCGATAAATTATATATATATACTTTTTTCTTTGCGGCCCGGTACTAAATGACCAACGGACCGGTACCGGTCCGCGGCCCGGTGGTTGGGGACCGCTGATCTAAAGAACATCTCCAGGATTAAATGACGCTAGGATGATAATGTTTTTGCAGGATTCATGCAGAATTGATTGTCTTCAAAGTTCTGCGTAAAAAGTGGATCAGACAGCTGCAGCTGATCCAGAATGCTGCTGCCAGTGTCCTCACTAGCCTTAAGAGCTCAGCTTGTAGTGTCGGATAATAGACTTTAAAATACTTCTGTTAGTCTGTAAATCACTGAATGTCTTAGCTGCAAAATACATGACAGACATTGTCAGTGTATCAACCACCCAGACCACTCAGATCTCTAGTTTAAGGTTTTTTTGAAATGTTCTTTTCCTGCCTCTATTCTGCCACTGCATTGTACTTTTCACTATGTTTTTTTTTATTTCTTTTGCTGTGTTCATACACTCTGAATTGGGAAAACTTTAAAAGGGTCTGTATGCGTTTCAATGCATTGTGTGCTCTAAATCAGATGATATTTCTTCTGTGTCCACTTACAGTCCAGGAAGTATTACTATCTGAGCGAGGAACCAGATGAGAAGGAGGACCTAATCCAGCGCTGTAAAGATCTTGAACACCAGGTTAGCTAATATTTTGCTTTAAGATTTAGAATCATAAATCAGTTTTATAAAGCTCTTCACTACACTTATATTCAGCTTTCAGAGAGATCCAGATTTTCAGATGTTCCAGAAAAGGATCCATTGGTGCAGCTTTAATCTGCTGTACCACAGCCATGTTTTTAAAGTCCTATCTCACAACTATGTGCTTTGAACTCTATTGATTGTCTCTCGGCTTAGTTGTGAACCAATGGCTGAGAAAGGGCTGAGTTATTTATTTTCCCCCCCTTAAACATACTTTCTTGTCAATAGTTGCATAACATCTAGATGAAACTGACACATAGCCTTGGGATGGATCAGTAGCCAACAATAATTTGTGCTGCTCTCAGCCCACCTGTTTGTTTACTTGCTCAGCCCACACATTGGGAATTAGTCACTGGTGTTGTTTTAGGAGCTATTTACTGTTACTGGCCCAGGGCTAAAACATGCAATCTGTCCTTAAAGTTCAGCGCAGTCTTTCGCTGTGGAAATACAACCACAAAAAGTTTAATCTCACTATTTTTTGGATGATTTTTATGCAGAATTGTCTAATTGTTAACTTCCTTATCCTGATATAACATGTTTAATAGACCTCTGCTGTATTCAGCTTAAGTTACTTCAGCTAAAAAGCAGCAGTTCTAGTGGTCTTGGTTATCTATTGTGTCTAATCTTAGCATGGGGATCTTTTTTAAACCTTAAGGGGAGCTTTTCTCTGCCTGGGAATGTCAGCTGACAACAGCATTGACGACAGAGCTTGTGAACTTACAGTAAAGCTTGTGTTTAGAGACCTTTTTTTGCATTAAGCCTGGTGAGTTTGCTTCTGCATATTAATCTGCCGGCACTAATTCAACAATTTCGTCTTCTTTACATTTATGTGCTTGGTAATGTTTTGCCTTTTGTTTCAGATCAGGGTTGCCGTTCCCTGCTTTCCACTGCTACAGATTTTTTTTTTTTTTTTTTTTGCTGCATTTTGTTGTCGGGACACCTTATTTTTCACTAAATCTCCATTGGTAATGGTTGGGATAAAGTTTCCCTCTGTTCCGGCAGCTGTCGCTGGGTGTGGAGGAGAGGTCGTCCCTGCAGGCCGAGATCCGTTCCATGAGAGAGAGGCTGAGCCGCAGCGACTCTCTGGACGCCTCTGCCACGGCCATCACCGGCAAGAAGCTGTTGCTGCTGCAGAGTCAGATGGAGCAGCTGCAGGAGGAGAATTACAGGTACAAAAGTTGGGTGTGAGAATGTGATTGAGCTAATTTTCTAGACCCACTTGTGTATGCACTGAGTCATCTCGGTCGGTTGTGTTTTTCGCAATGACTCGACTAAGCCACATTAACCACCGTGTGTCTCAGGCTGGAGAACAGCAGAGATGACTTGCGCGTACGTGCAGACATGCTGGAGCAGGAGGTGGCCGACCTGCAGCACAGGAACGAAGAACTGACGAGTCTGGCGCACGAAGCCCAGGCGCTCAAAGATGAGATGGACATCCTCAGGTGAGAGCAGAAGTCACTCCTGTTCTCCAACTTCTGAATGGATCAATCATGAGCGCTGCAGCAGTGATCTGCACATCTTTAAATATAAGCTTCAGATGATGAAATGAAGGAAACTTTTTCTACTTTTAAGAAACTGATAGTACTGAGTGAAACTGCTGTAATTATGACCACAAGGCGGTTGAGTCACATGGACTGTGAGGGTTTCTGTTCTTGCTTTGCAGCTTGTTTCATCCAGTTCATTGATGGTTTAGATTGGCCAACAAACCAAGATTTATGCCCCTTGTCTTTTTAGTCTTCAGGAAATCATATTTAAATTTCAAATAATTCTGGCTGAAACTTGTAAACATGTACTCTCTATTTAGAACATTTTTATAATTTCTTAAAATCTGTATTTTTTATTTTTTTATTTATTTATTTTTTCATTATCTTATGCAGGCCAGTTAGTTATACGTCAGCCTTAAGCTAACAGAACTGGTAGCGTTGCGAGGCAAGGGCTGAAACATGTACGGCTGTAAGCCTTCTACACCAAACCAAGCTTCTGCCACCCTGGCGTCCTCTTCCACAACAACTTCGTCCCCGCTTTCCTCCTCTAAATAAAAAATGTACAATGGAGGAGACTCATCCACGACCTCCGACACAAAACTCTCCTCCTCTTGCATGTTTCCGCTGTCCATAGCGTTCCTTGACAATGTTGTTGCTAAGTGCCACTTGGTCCCAATGGAATTTCCCATTGGGAACCTACTAGCACTAAGTTGCTAACTGGTTAACCAGATGCTTCCGACAAAACGGCCACAATCAAACTTACTTGTGAGCCTTCCGCCACAACAATGCTGTCCTCTCGATAATCGAACCGATCACATTCACTTTATTCACTCGTGTAAAGTCGTGCACCACTCGGGAGAATTCAGAAATGCGACGTTTGGAACGGCCACTTTCCTACAACTTTACCATCTTTTTTACTTCCCAAAAAAATGATTTAATTGTATTGTTTTAGGATTTTGATTAATACATCAATAAATTGGTGATTGTTGCATAATAGAAGCTGTTTTAGAATAATTTTCAAATTTCGCCGCAGTTGTTTAAAAAGTTCTTCTGTGCTTTGACTAGGCCATTCTAATGAACAAATATGCTTTGATTCAAGTCATTCCACTTGCCTGTAATACAGATCTTTCACCACCTCTAAAAGGTTATCTGCAAGGCTCACTCTTAATTCAAGCACGTCATCATTACATCAACTCTATCAGGTGTTTTTTCCCAAAGCATAATGCTGTCAGCACTGTGCGTCACCATGGGGGTGATGTTTTCAATCATTTGTTTTCTGCAATTCATACAGTTGCCCAGTAGAAACGCTGCAAATGGTAATCTAAAAATAAGTAAGAATGTCTTAAAATAAATATATTTGCCCTTAATTTGAGCTGAAAAATAATGTTTTAAATGTAAATTATGTATTTATTCAATTGGCTGATGGCCATTGGAATAAGACAATTACTTACCTGCTCAAAACAAGAGAAAACACACTTATTCCAAGTAAAACTGATAGGCATACACTTAATTTTTTAAAGTATAATACTTCAATGAGCCCGTCTTTGTTTAGTCTTAGAATAAATCTACATGTTGTGTCCTTTGTGGACAGTGGGACTCCTAACAGGCTGAATACATACGTCAGCGGTGTCCATATGTAGTTCTCAAGAGGTTGTGTCGTGAATATGTTAGACGTCACCCTGGCTCATCACACCTTAATTAAATTTATTGGTAATTAGCCAGTTCCTGGGGAGGTTGAAAACATGCTGTGGCGCTGATTGAGTCATTTGAATAAGCTGTTAGGACAGAAAACACACATTTAAATCATGCAGGGCATCAGCCCCTGATGACTGGAGTACCACACTCTGTGCAATTGGTATGCAAGGCATATGGTTTTAATAACTGGAATATGTTTCAGTCTTAAAAAAAGGTTTTATAACTAAAAGTTACATTTATTGATCAGGCAAAACATATTGGCTGCGACTTGATCAAAACTTCAATGCCCTCCGAAAAGTTTTCTTTTTGCAAATACCGGTATATCACTAAAATATGAGGCTTAAATGCATGCTTCTTATCTAATCAGCTCATTTTTAATACATTGCAAGAAGCCGTTACTGATGTTACATTATATTATGCTGTCTTACCTTCTGTTTACTGCATCTGCTACATGGCCTCCTGCTTAAAGCCAACAGATAGTCGTCTTTTATTCACACAGAGGTGGAGCCTGTGTACTTATTAGGTTTTATTTAGAGGTGTTGGGATAGAAGGTTATGCATTAAATTATGATAAAGTCATCAGGTTTTATTAGTCAAACCTGTTAAATCTGTGATTCCTTGTTATCCCAGTATGTTACTTGATAGTTTGAGGTTTTAATGTGTAAAAATGGGACCAGATTTCAGGATTGTAATTACTTTTTAAGACCTTTATGTAATAGCCTGACTGTCTGTGAAAACACTCCCAATTTGCTGTGTTTTGGAAAACAAAAGCTCCAAGGTAAGCATATTTTAGTTAAAAACGTTTGACTTAACTAGTAAAGCTCCACTAAACTAATCTAATATGTACACAAGGAAAAAAATCATAATCAATAAAATCATGCAGTGATTCACAGTTTTGACCTCATTCCAGTTTTTTTAAGATAAACTTTGTTTCTTGAACTAATTTAGAAGAATTGGAATGTGTTCAAACCAGTTCACAATGCAAATCCAAGAGTTAAATAATATTTTAGTTGAATAGTTAAAGCTAAGGCCCACCTAGCTTCCTTATGCTTGGCTTATGAAACAATTGAGCTAACAGCTAGCAGACAGAAGGGAACTCATTTAAAAAGAACTTTTTTGTCACATTTTTGTAATTAGATGTAATTAGAATATGAGGAAATTCGTGAATGTTACATTAGTCTTTAATTCTTTAGTGAAATAAAGGTTGTTTTAACTTTATAAACAAATGCTCAGTATTGTCAGCATGGGGTACCATGCGGTAACCATTGGCTTCATGTTAGCTTGCCTTACATGATAATAAACACCTGAAATGACCAAAAATCATCTAAATCAAAATCGTTTAGCTGGAGACTCTTTCCTTACGTTTACCAGACCTGTAACATCTGATCTCCCTTTTGGAAAAGGTTTAGTTGTTTCTAGTGTTTTGCAGCTTAGCATGCCAGGTCTGCAGCAGGGAAGCTAATGTCCTTTCCTCTCAGATGCTCCAGTCTCTGGCATCTCAAAGTTTTATTTTAACTTGGGGGAAAATGTTGCAGAACGATCTATTTTTGCTAAATAGAGTAGCATTTCTGAGAAGGTCTTTTTAGCCTTCAATCGGTCTGCAGATTCTGGTCCTGAACCTGGTTTCAGGACTACTTCATTAGAGCAGGGGTCAAGTAATGAAATCCATTTAGCCATGTTGTCTTTCTTCTCCTTAATGTATCTCCCCTGGGGTAGAGAAGACGGCAAAGAGGGTAAGAGACTGTTTGTGGATTCCTTTGTCCCCAAGCGTGGTACAACAGAGGAAAACTGCACCTTCCACTGTCAATATTCAAAGAAAATCGGCCTAGTATGACTTCAGTCCTCAGTGTCCAAAACTAATATCACGGCTAAAGGCGCTGTAAGAAACGAGGTGTACAGTACAGGACTGAGACGGGTCAAATCCAAGAGATGGCAGAGGGTTTATTTTCTGTTGAGATATGACGATGGTCTTTTGGTTCTTGAGTTATCAGGAAACTGGCAACTTATCTGCGTCGGTATCTGTTCCTGACTCTATGACGATGTCATTTGTCTCTGAAAATAAACTATGTCAACCAAATATCCCAACAGACACTCGTCTGACCGGGTGAACCAGCTCGAAGCACTAGTAGAGACCTACAAGAGGAAGCTGGAAGATCTAGGAGACCTGCGCAGACAGGTGCGCCTCCTGGAGGAGCGAAACACCGTGTACATGCAGCGCACCTGCGAGCTGGAGGAGGAGCTACGCAGGGCCAACTCCGTTCGCAGTCAGCTGGACACCTACAAGAGACAGGCAAGCTGCGTGCTGCTTCATCTGTTTGCCCATCTGAGTGATGATAAACTGAGTCTGGCTGCTGATTGTGTTTGGAAAGATTCACTGTTTTCTTGGAAAGCTCCAGCAGACTGTCCCTTTTTTTTATTTTTTTTAGGCTCATGAGCTTCACACCAAGCATGCAGCAGAGGCCATGAAGGCTGAGAAGTGGCAGTTTGAGTTCAAAAATCTTTACGACAAATACGACGCACTGCTGAAGGAGAAAGAAGTGAGTTGACGCACCTCATCGAGAACATCTAGAAATGCTTTCTTGATCTGCACGGTTCTGTCATTTATTGAAGATTCCTGAGATCTGATGGAGATTTTCCTGATTGTCCATCGGGTAGATATACGGATGCACTGCATAGGCTTATAGTGGCCTTTTGACCTTTTTTGTTTTTTAACAATTTTCCACATTGCAACCACAAACTTCATGTCCTTCTTTGTGGTTCTATGTGATTAACAAACACTAAAAAAGGGGGAAGTAAAATAAAAATGGATGGTTTCATTATGCGTTGAATGTTCTCCTTTAGTCTATCAGCATTAATAAATAACCTAATCATTAGAGTCTGTGTAATGTAATCTCAGTCCAGCTAATGTGTGGAAAGAACCTTGTCTTCCAAAGAAGGGGCGTGAATACTTTTTAGAGGAAGACGGGGTGTCTTATCCAGTGCTGCATTCACACAGAAAGCATTGTGAGCGTCAAAATGTTTCTGCTCATTGAAGTAAGAAGCATGTTGGGAGCATTTTTGACGCCCTTGATGCACATCGTGCAAAGTGAGGGCAGACCTTTTCTGGCGCTCTTTCCTGTTTTCTTGTAGATGTAAAGAGAAGAGAGTGGCTTTGCTTTATTAGCTGTAATCAGGTTTCTGATCCTAGCTTTAAATACAGCTGTTCTGAGTGGTAGACTCCCATGTACCACAGGGGGAGCAGCCACTGCACAGGAAAAAATCTAAATCCAGATAAGTCATTTTTTTTCTTAAAATAAGTGCATTTGTTCTTGGATTGAGGAGATAAAAGATACATTTTGCCAAGGGAATAAGACGATTTACACTTAAAATGAGAAAACATAATTGCATTGTCTTATTCCAAGTGCATATTATCTAATTATCTTATTTTAAGAGTAAAAATACTCATTCCATTGGAAAACTGTCTCATTTACCAACTCAAATCTAGGATAAATACACTTAATTTAAAGGTATACTATGCAACCGGTGTTGATTTTCCAGTGAGGCTCCCCCCAGAGGGCGAAAGTAAAAGTGCACTGTCGTAAATATGCTCAGCTGTTCTCCTGGTTTCTCCGTCAAGCCAGGCGCGGTTGTTTTGAGATTAGCAGACAGGCGAATGCAACGAATCACCATGTCTACTGCTGTAAGTGACTATTTTCTTCCAATTTTCGAGTTTGAAAATTCTCGCTGGTTCCACCATGATAACTGCACAAATATCGCCACTGCACTAGCAACGAGCATGCCTTTCACTGGGGGAGTGTAGCAGTTCTCGCCGTAAAGCAAGACCGACTCTCGCGATGCATGAGACTTCTGAGTCTGTGGGTGCGGGCCGGTGCTCCTGCAATTGCAAGTACGGTATTTCCCCTACAGACCACCAGGGCGGCCGAGAAAACCTTTGTTCGACCTGAAATGACTCATTTAATTATCCAAAACGTTATGGAACACATTGATTGACTGAAAAACGTTGCATAGTATGCCTTTTAAGACATTTTTACTTATTTCAATATCGTTTTTCCAGTGTGTAGATCCAGCCATAGTTCCCTCAACCCAGCCAAGCTCTTTGGGATTTTCTGCTGCCGTTTGTAGTGGCTGGAAGGGAATATAAGCATTTTTTAGCTGGTAAAAACTGTGATAATAGAAAATAAAATCAAACATACTTTGTCAACAAGTTATGATATTTTATATTTGTATTTATAAAGTTATCCTCTATTTAAGGCCAAGTGGAATTTTCTTAAAACCTTAACAGAATCTGCTCTTGATTAGTATATAAACCTCAAAGCTTAGATGGAAATTTGTCCAGTAAATGTGCTTTATAAGAATTAAACAAAAACTGACCAAATCAGAACTTTAAATATTCCTAAAACCTTTTTTTATTTTTTGATTGTTTGTTTTCAATATTTTGTTTCTGTGCAGCGTTTGATTGCAGAAAGAGATTCTCTGCGGGAGGCGAACGATGAACTGAGGTGTGCGCAGGTCCAGCAGGGCTATCTGAGTGGAGCAGGTGAGCTGTGCAGGTTTGAACTGGGTTGAGTTTTAGTAAAACCTGTTAATGCTGCATGTTTGATTCCTTCTGTAGGAGACTTGACTGACGGCGATGTCACTGTGGGAAACCTGGCTGCAGAGATTATGCCTACAGAGCTAAAGTAGGGAAACTTATTAATGCTGTGAGGACGTGATCTGGGATGTGTAGACATGTGTGCATAGTGGATCCTAATAGCTGTGGCCTCTTTGGTAGCCCCCCCACCCCCCTGCTGTTTTCATCATGCTGTCTTTAAAGTTTATTTTTGGAAGTTGAATGTTCAGCTGGTCGGTGAAACTGTAACACACGGCCCATTTGGCCTGGCTGTTGTCAGATAAGAGCCTCCACGTTCAGTCTCATCTGCCCTGTTTCCATTCCTCCTCTCATTCCGCCGTTCTTTCTTTGATAGGGAAACCGTTGTACGTCTACAGAGCGAGAACAAAATGCTGTGCGCTCAGGAGGAGACCTACCAACAGAAACTTGTCAAGGTCCAAGCGGAGCTAGAAGAGGCTCAGCGCAGCAAGAATACCCTGGAAGCTCAGAACAGGTAGGAGTTAGTGGATGGATTCATTATGCAGACCCACTTTTTTAGTAGCGTTGGATAACCGTTCCCCTCTGGGGGCCACCATATTGTGCGTTCCTGGACATGAGATTGTGGATTTGGCTGAGGGAAGGAGTGATATCTGCCTAAATGTCAACTCACCCTCTGGACTGTGTGTTGAGCGGAGCTGTGTGGGCTGGGCTGGAGGACAGGCAGCAGAAAGCCAGATTGCCCCTTCAGTGTGTGTTTATGTGCGATGGCGGGTGTGTGTTTACATGCCTGTGGGCATGTGGACATGTGGGTGGACTGTTTGTGTGTGTGTATGTGTGTGTATCCAATGCAACACCAGGCTGAGGGTGTGGGAAGCATCCTCAGTAACAGGAGGAGAGGAGTGGAGTGAGCATGCTCAGCGTCCAGGCGGCGCACTCGCTGGAATGGACGACAGGTGCTTACAGCAGATGCACAAAGTTCCACTTAAAACGTTTTTTTTTACCTACAGTGGAGTTGATATATGATTTAAAGGGAAACATTTGAGGCATTCTCATACAGGTGCTGGTCATAAAATTAGAATATCATGAAAAAGTAGATTGATTTCAGTAATTCCATTTAAAAAGTGAAACTTGTATATTATATTC